CTCACTAATTTAAAATTCTTGATTTAAAAATATTAAAATAAGAGATTCAAACATTTATGATATCAAACAATTAACTTTTTGATATAAAAACAAAATGCATCAAATTTTAGCTATTAGTTAGGTCCAACCTTTATGGTTGTGAGTTTGAATCCTGGAGATATTAAATTTTTTCAATGGTCCAATAAAAAACATGCACGTGAGATGGGTGTTAAATTAAGGTCAATTTTTTTTTAATGTAAATTAGTACATAAAAGATGCATGTAAAACACTTCTAATGTGTGCCCCAGTTGGACAAACCCTTTTCTTATGCAGTTTTTTATCATGTTCCCCATGAGATAAGGAGTAATTATTATGTAATAATTTATATTTTTAGTGCTCTTAAAGGATATTTTAATTAATTAAAAGTTTAGCACTTGGGCCTTCGACTCCAATGACGTCAGGTCACGTATAAGTGCATTCTCCCTCATTTAGGGCAACAGTTTGAATCTGACCCTTTGCGAATTTGTTCAAAAGAAAAAATTAAAAGTTTAAAATTTTAAATTAGAGATATTAAATTTGAACCAAAAGTTAAATGAGAAGAGATTTTAAAAAAAATAGAGAGTTAACTCCTCTTGTATAACTAATTATCATATATATTAAAAAAAATTACTAGCTTTGTCTTAAAAAACTGAAGTTAAATTTTGTTTTAATTATAAATACCAAGTGTTAGCGTCTATTGGTCCATTTTAAATTAAAAATCAAAATTTATTTTTTAATTCAAAATTTTACATTTTCAAGAAAAAAATGCCACAATCATTAGCTAACACGAGTATAGGACAACAAAACCCATTTTTATTCACAAATTCCCTTAGATTTGAACGGCATTTTGCATCTTCACCCATGTGTCCAAGATGCGAACAAGATCAAGAGACTCCATTGCATCTACTAAGAGATTGCTATTATTCCCGTCTGGCATGGGAATCTACACCTTTGCAAGCAAACTTCTTTAACTTGGACTTAGATGGCTGGCTTTACCAAAATGTAACTTCCACTTCTTCAACTGGAAAGCCTCTTCAGCTATGGTCCATGCTGTTCCTAGCCCTCCTTTGGTACATTTGGAAGAGTAGAAATGCTTTGATCTTTGAAGACAAGTGGCTTCCACCCCAAATTGTGCTTCAACAGGCTACTTCCTTAGCTATGAACACCAGATTAGCACTAGCTACACAAATTTCAAGCCATCCTCGAGTCTCTCGTTGGTAAGATGGTACCCTCCTGATCTTCCTTTCTTTAAGCTAAATATAGATGGGGCCATGAATCATGCTACAACAAAAGCGAGTGCTGGCGGATTGATTCGAGATCATGAAGGTCATTGGGTCCATGGTTTTTCTTTGAGCATTGGGCATCAATCCAGTTTTATGGCAGAGCTCTGGGGGTGCAGAGAAGGTTTGCGCATGGCATCTGATCTCGGAATCATCCATTTGATCTTGGAAATGGATTCTCTTCTAGTGGTTCACATGCTTCAGGCAAAGAAAGGGGTGGAAGGCTTAGCTTGGACCCTGTTTTCTGACATTCTTCATCTTCTAAGAACGTTTTCTGAGTATCATGTGCAGCATACTTTTAGGGAGGGCAACTTTGCAGCAGATTATATGGCTGCTATTGGCCAAAACTTCTCTCATGGTATCACTGTGTTTCCAGAGCGTCCGGTCAAAATTGACAATATTCTTAATAGGGATGCCTTAGGGACGTTGTTCCCTCGGTCTTAGTTTTTCTGCTTTGTTTTTTCAAATCTTATGTACCCAAAAAAAATAAAACCCCATTTTTATTTATGAGTACCATATTTAAGAATTGCGTAAACACATGGCCTTAGTTTACATGACGGGTTTGGTCATTACAACCGATACCGGTCCATTTGCTGCGGTCTAATCCAATCCACGAACTAGAGGAATCAGTGGCCTTCCTCTAATGGAAGAAACGCTGCCTTTTCTTTCTCCCAACGTCTGCCATCCACCAAATAGAGTCCAATGCTGTCTAGACACGAGCACAAGTACAACAGAAGCAAGGCCAACTAGACTGTGCTTATGACCCCTGTATCTAGTTGTTTTGGTTGGAGGAATCATATAATCTAAATTGATCCTTATGAATACATATAAACAAAGAAGCCAACCATTTCAATGGGAGGAAGACTTGTACTAGAAATGGCTTCCCAATTCCAACGATTAAAGCTCGGAGAATTATGAGAGCTTGATTAAGTGTCCGTTTAGGATTGCGATTGTGGGTTTTTTTAAATAGTTATACAATATTTTTAAATATATGTGTGTTTGATAATTTTTTTAAATTATTTTTAAAAAAAATTATAAAAAATTATAGTATATTTACATTAATTTTATATATAAAATCAAAAACTTCATTTTGTAATTTTTTTGTTGTGATTTTTATGAAAAACACATAATATTTAACATAATTGTAAGATTGCTCATTAAAACCAAATTTTGTATAATTTAATTGTATCACAATTTATAATATTTTAATAATGATAA